TCGTCGCGCAAGAATACTTAGTGCGACGAAATTTTCATCGCGCAAGTTAATTTATTTTTTTTCTCTATTTTTTTTCTATTTTGCGCAACGAAGTTTTTTTTTTTTGTCGCTCAAGTGCATCTTGTGCGACGAATTTTTGTTCGTCGCGCAACCTATTTTTTTTACTAGTCTTTCTCAAATTTCCTATACAAGTATGTTTTTTATTTGTTGTAAACATGTGCTTATTCATATATTATATAATAAATTTACTTTAAAAATAAAAATCCACCTAGCCCGCCTAGGCGCTAGGCCCTACCTCGCCGCCCGACTAGTGTCTAGTGTCTTTTAAAACCTTGGATCCGTCCATGTTCTATTCTCTACTTCAACATGAATTTTCATTTCTCCTTTCATGATACCTTTAAATTAGAATTATCCATTCTATTCAATCTTATATGCCAAATGAGGCCTTATTGAGTCTTGGCATAAGGAAAACATAAGTGTTAAATGTAAGTAAGATCAGCGCGAACCAGTTACTATGAATTAATTTGATTCAATTATGCTACTAATTGAATTTTAAACCTAACCAGATCATATCAAATAGTCATGTACTAGTATAATTGCAGCTTGAGATCTAAACTGTACCAAACCAAGCTATCCACTCCTAATTTAGCTAGCACAACCATCAAATTTGAGAGCAACCCCCTTGTTATCTTCCAATGTCTTGCAAATAGGTTGAGAAAATAAAGAAAAAGAAAATCGTTCATGACTATATTGCTATTAAAACAACCAACCACATCTGATTACGCATAAAAGGCGGAAGAATAGAAGTAAAAATTATACGGCTTAAATAGTAGAAGTTTGGTTTTTATTTTTTTAGTACGCAAGTTTTCTACATAATCCGTTTCAAAAAAAAAAAAAAAAGTTTTCTACATAAGTTAAAAGCGATTTTAGGTTAAAATCTCTATATATAGAGGTATGCTTGTATCATATATTCAGTACAAAAAGATGAAAAGCAAAAAGTAATGCTTTTACTTTCTCAAAACTCTCATTTATACGTTTATTTCTCTTGTCTAACACTAGTAAATAGCATAAATAATAAACATAGTGATACATGGCTCTCGTTACACTTCAACCTCTTGCATAACTTCTCTCTCATTTTGTTTCAAGTTCAAATCCTCATGCCTCATTTAAATTAGTACAGAATATCGTTTGTAATTAAAAAATATATATAAATAAAATAAAATAAAATAAAAAATAAAGGCTAAGATTGAAAAAGTTCACCTAATAGCGAGGTGTCTTGGGTTGGACACTTACATCTGCTTTGGTGACTTTCTTGTGTAGGTACAGACGCTCGACTTCGGCCTGAAAAAATATCATAGAGGTCCGTCGTCCATGCAGCATGCTTCGTTTCTTTCTTCATAAAAAATATAAAAAATAAAAAAAAGCTTTGCGTTGGAATGATTCATGCAGTCTATGGTTGATATTGTATTGTGTTGGTTTTGATAATACCAGAACTCAAGAACCCTAGTTATCTTTATAAGAACTCACGTAAAATAATGAACTATTCTTCTCATTCAATTATCAATATGAAGATTACAGTTTTAAAGGGAAGAATACCATAAACAAATGACAGCAACTCTCCCACGATCTTATGCTGATTTCGTGGAGAGTCTAACCTTAAACAACGGAAGCAATCCTAACTGTGGTGAACATGCTCAACCACGTCTCCTACTTACTAGGGATTGTGCAAGACTTGGTCTCTGCATGGCCAGTCAGCTTTTATTTAATTTAAAATTTAATTAAACTTAACTTAACAACTCTTAACACCCTCCCTTAAACTGATTTCTACTAAAAACAGTTTAGGGTTTTGGTTACCAACACAAACTCATCATCAACTTATTCAACCTTCATGCATCATGCTTGATTTTCTGCCCACTGTTTCTCGAGATTTTTGAGTGAAAGCACTCCAAGTAACTTCCTCAATTTCTCGAACTGGGGCTGTTTGAGTGACTTTGTAAGTATATCCGCCAACTGGTCTCCACTCTTGCAATACTCGAGCTCAACTATACCATCATTGCACAGATTTCGCAGAAAATGAAAACGAACATCAATATGCTTACTTCTTCCATGCATTACAGGGTTTCTGGATAACTTTATAGCAGAAACATTATCACAGAAAATGGTTGTTGAACCCTCTTGTTTTTCACCGAGTGCTTCAAGCATTCTTCTCAACCAAATAGCTTGGCATGCACTAGAAGCCGCTGCTACGAACTCTGCCTCAGTAGTGGATAAGGTTACGATTTGTTGTTTCTTTGAAGACCATGCAACTGCTCCAGAATTCAGAATAAAAGCATGTCCTGAAGTGCTCTTCCGGTCATCAATGTCCCCCGCATAGTCACTATCGGTGAAGCCGACAAAATCTAACCTCCTTGACTTTTGTAGAGCACTCCATAATCACTTGTTCCCTTTACATATCTCAGGATCCGTCTTGCTGCATTCATATGCATCTCAGTTGGTCTTTCCATATATCTGCTAATGACACTTACTCCATACATTAAATCAGGTCGTGTGAAAGTCAAGTACATGAGACTTCCCACGAGTTGCTTGTACAAGGAACTGTCTGCTGCTGCTCCATTTACATCCTTACTTAGCTTTAATCCAGGCTCTAATGGTGTTCCAATCTCCTTGCAATCAGCCATTTTAAACTTCTCAAGAACTTCTAGTGCATATTTCCTTTGACAAATAAATTTTCCAGCAGCCTTTTGAATCACCTCAACTCCCAGGAAATAACTCATTAGTCCGAGATCAGTCATCTCAAATTCCTTCATCATAGAATTCTTAAAGTCTTCTATCATTTCACCTTTATTGCTAGTATATATTAAATCATCTACATACAAGCAAAGGATTAACATATCTCCTCCAATCTCACCTTTAACATAAAGTGAATGATCATAGGGACATTTTTGAAACCCTAGCTTTCCAAGGTGAACATCAATTCGACTATACCAGGCACGAGGCGCTTGTTTCAGTCCATAAAGCGCCTTCTTTAGTTTATACACCTTTCCTTCTTCTCCCTTCTTCTCATAACCTTGTGGCTGATCGACGTACACCTCCTCATGCAATTCTCCATGCAAGAACGCTGATTTTACATCCAATTGATAAATCAACCATGAATGTTTAGCAGCTAGTGAAATAACTAACCTTATTGAATCTTGCTTAGCCACGGGAGCAAACACTTCCTTGTAATCAATGCCATGCTTTTGCTTGTATCCCTTTACCACCAAACGAGCCTTGTGCTTATCTACTTCTCCTTTCTCATTGACCTTTGTTCGAAATACCCATTTTACACCAGTGGTCTTATGTCCCTTTGGCAAAACCGTCAACTCCCATGTGTTGTTCTTTTCAATGGATCTTAGTTCACTATCCATTGCAGCCTTCCACTTTATCTCTTTTGAAGCCTCTTCAAAAGTAATTGGATCACTATCTACAAATAGCGCAAAATGAGCACTGTCATCATCTGAGCTTGTGTAGCTTGTATCATAATCCATCATCCAAGCTGGCCTTTTTCTTGAACCTTCACCCCTTAAGTTATATCTTTCTTCTTCAACTTGATGTGGTACTACTTCGGGTTGGAGTGGGGTTTGGGCCGTGATGGTTTCTTCATCAGAGTCATCATCAACTTGTATCTGTTGGTTCTTCTTCTTGTCTGCAGACCATCTCCATGTTGTATTCTCATCAAATACTACATCCCGACTGATAATGATCTTCTCAGTTTTAGGATTGTACAACCTGTAAGCTTTAGACACATCACTAACACCAAGAAACACACATTTTTCACCCTTGTTATCCAATTTCTTTCTTCTCTCATCTGGAATGTGTGCATATGCTATGCACCCAAACACCTTGAAATGATCCACAGATGGCTTTCTCCCATTCCAAGCCTCTTGGGGTGTCATATTTTTAACAGAAAACGTGGGACTTCTATTAAGAATATGGACTGCCCAAAGAACTGCTTCAGGCCAAAACTGTTTTGGAACTTCTCCCTTTGCTAGAAGGGTTCGAACCATGTTGAGTATGGTTCTATTTTTCCTCTCCGAGACCCCATTTTGCTGCGGTGTATAAGCTGCAGTGAGCTGCCTTTTTATTCCATTTTTTGTCACACAAAGCTTCAAACTCTTTCGAACAAAACTCTCTTCCACGGTCAGTGCGCAAACACTTGATTTTCTTTTCAGATTCATTCTCAACAAGAGCCTTGAAACTCTTGAATGCATCAAATGCCTCTGACTTCTCATGCAGGAAATAAACCCATGTTTTTCTACTGAAATCATCAATAAAGGAAATAAAGTACCTTTTTCCTCCATTCGAACTTGGATTAATTGGTCCACATAAGTCCGAGTGGACCAATTCCAAAATTGAGTGAGCTCTCGTTGCTTTTCCAATTGGGAATGCTTCTCTAGGCTGCTTTGCTATGACACACTCCTCACAAACCTTGGTTAGATTTGTGATTTTAGGCAAGCCTGTCACCATCTTCTTCTGGTAGAGAGTTCTTAAGCCATTAAAATGCAAGTGACCAAACCTATGATGCCACAGCCATGTTTCATCATCTTCTTTGGCAACCAAGCAAGCATTTACACTCTTAAGCTTCAACGGGAACAACCTGTTTGGTGACATTTTCACCACAGCAATAGAGCCTCTCTTTGGATCATATATTTCGCATTCTCCTTGAAATATAGTGATCCTATATCCTTTATCTTGAAGTTGTCCAGCGCTTAGAAGATTTGTCTTCAAATCAAGAATGAAAAAGACATTTGAAATTGTCTCAATGAAGTCATTTTTGGTCCTGATTTGAATATCTCATTTTCCCATCACGTTCACTGTTGACTTGTCCCCAAAACTCACAGTAGTACGAAAGCTTTCATCCAGGTTAACAAAGGATGCTTTACACCCGCGCATGTGATTGCTACACCCAGTGTCCACATACCAAGTCTCTTGGTCAAAGTCCTCCGCAACATGAAATGCCATCAGCAGCGTTTCTTCCTCCTTTGTCTCAATAAAATTTGACTTCTCTCCCTTCTCTTAGGAAGCTTGGTGTAGCACTCATTTCTGTAGTGTCCATAGCTACCACATCTGTAACATTCTATCTGTGATTTGTCAAACTGCTCCTTGCCTTTTCCTTGACGATCATCCTCTTTCTTTGAGACATAAGATGATGTGCTATCATCTTTATTCCAAAACCGTCCACCATCTCGATTTCCACGACCATGTCCACCTCTTCCACGTCCTCTTCCTCCTCTTGAACTTGAAGATTCAGTGAAGGTGAAAGCCTTCAAAGCTTGCTCTTGGGAGCCTCCTCGGTTGAGCTTCTGCTCATGAACTAGCAAAGAACTTTGTAGCTCATCTATTGACATATCCTCTATGTCATTTGACTCCTTAATTGAGCTGACCACGTAGTCGAACTTAGGAGCCATTGATCTCAAGATTTTCTCAACTACTTCATTATCTTCAATCTTGTGACCATGGATTCTCATCTTGTTAGCCATTGACATAGCCTTTCCAATGTACTCATTCACAGATTCCCCATTCTTCATTTGAAGAGTCTCAAAGTCTCTTCTTATAGCTTGAAGCTGTGCTCGCTTCACCTTTATGGATCCTTGATACTTCTTCTTCATTGACTCCCATATTTGGTGGGAGGTGTCCTTCTCGAGAATGGTTTCGAGAATGGATCTATCAATCGCCTGGAATAGGTAATTCTTTACCTTTAAATCTTTCAGTTTCTGTTTATCAACCTTATTTTGTTGTGCCGTTACCTTCAGGTATCTCAATCCCCATTTCCACAAGGTCAAAGTACTCTTTAGACCTTAAGAAGTTTTCCATCAACATGCTCCAATGGTCGTAATGACCATCGAACTTGGGAATGGCTGGCTGCACAAAGCTTTCAGTTGCCTTTTCACTCGACATTGTTTCTTTCTGAGACCCCTAAAACCTGGCTCGTATACCAAATGTTGGTTTTTATAATACTAGAACTCAAGAACCCTAGTTATCTTTATAAGAACTCACGTAAAATAATGAACTGTTCTTCTCATTCAATTATCAATATGAAGATTACAGTTTTAAAGGGAAGAATACCAGAAACAAATGACAGCAACTCTCCCACGATCTTATGCTGATTTCGTGGAGAGTCTAACCTTAAACAACGGAAGCAATCCTAACTGTGGTGAACATGCTCAACCACGTCTCCTACTTACTAGGGATTGTGCAAGACTTGGTCTCTGCATGGCCAGTCAGCTTTTATTTAATTTAAAATTTAATTAAACTTAACTTAACAACTCTTAACATATTGAGGCTTTCTAAGATAAACGTATATGTAGTGGAATGATTCATGCAGTCTACGATTCACATTGTCTCCTTCTTTTGGGTGCCAGCCACCTCTTTGCGTTAATGCCGCTGAAGTCTCATTCTCAATCTTGATACCGAATTTCCTTCATATTCGTACTAACTTCATTTTCTCGTTCAATCACATAAACCAAGTTCTTTGCTTTACAGAGTTACTTTGCATGAAAGACAAACAGAACAGAAACCGTTTCAGTTTTTATTCTTTTTGGTTCATTTGTAATACTTCGTTTGTTCATTTTTCGCAGGTGCTTCTGAGTGGTTCCTGTCGACATGCTTGTTTCTAGACTATCCGCGGTCAGAACTCAGATGATCAAGCATCTCGCAAAAGGTTTTTGTTTTGTACCTTTTTTTTGTTCCTATCTTTAGTCTGCTTTTTCCAGTAGTCTCAGATGATCAAGCATCTCAGATGATCAGCCCCATATTAAATTTAACATTAACTTCTTCCGTGCTTGTTCCTGTCGACATGTGGCTAGATACGTGTGACAGGTAATGTTTCAAGTTTTATACAAAAGCATAGAGTTTTAGTCTATTTGTGTCTTTTTAAATCCATTAAGGTGAAACTGTATTGAAAGACCTCTGGTTACTTAGGGTTCCTCATGATTAGGTTTCTCGGTATTATCTGGGTAATAGGGTTTGTGTCAACTCTATTAGTGTTTTACCTAGTTAATAGCCGTTTATTTTCTTCTTGCTCTTATCAACTTGTATAAGGGTCTTATCTTGTTGTCAACTCCTTAATCCAAGGAGCTTAGTTATGTTCCCTATACCAGCTGTTCAACGTGATTCTAGGAGATTTAAAATAGGTAACTTGAGTGTTGAATGTAGTTTGCAACTCAGTCAAACTCTCCTATATATTTGTAACCTAGGTATGCTCTCATTACGATTTCTATAATACAAAATCAGAAACTTGAAAGGTCAACAAACTGTACAATTAGTCTACTGCTTAGGTAGAGGTTATCTCATGATTCCAGTAAGGCAGTGGAGGTTCTCTTGTGATTTTAAATTGTAGTTTAAGTTGGTATCTTTAAAAATAGGAGAAATTAGGTTCTCATCCTTCCTTTTGCTACTCCATTGATTAAAATTCTATTCATTTTCAATTTTTGATCAAGGTCCTTGGGTATTAATAACATCATTAATTATTTCAATAATAAAATATTTTTTTATTTTCTAAATATATTCATTTAATGTTAAAAATGTTACAATTAGTATATTTATATTTATGACTAAATTTTTTTATCATATATTTTTAGTTTTAGTTTGTACCCATTTTTAATTTGTAATTCTTTTTTAATTTGTACCAATTTTCTTTTCAGTTTTAATTTGTACCCATATATTAATTTCTTTTTGTGCCCATATTTTTTACAGTTTATTTCTATTTGTACCCATATTTTTTTTTATTTGTACTTTTTATTTTGCTAAATGTACCCATGCTAATTATATGTGCCAATTTATGTAAAACTTTTTAATCTTAAAATGTACTCATTCTTAAATATACCAATTTGTTATATGTAAAATGTACCTTTTTTATATAACATCTAATCAATTTTTTTCTAATCCATTTTTAAACTTATATGGGTACATTAATTCTTTATTCTTTGATTTTAAAATGTATCCATGTCAAGTTTAATCGAAGAAATTTACTAATGTTATTAAGCCTAATATCTTCATTTTTTTCTTCTTCTTTTTTTGTGATTTTGAAGAATGTACCCATGTTTTGATACAATAATATTTTTGGTTAAGTTTGATGAATGTACCCATGTTTATATATATATACACACACACACAATAATATATTTATATTTTAATATTTTTAATCCCGCAAATTATGGTTTTTTATTTAAAAACTCATTCATATAAACAACTAAAAATTTTAATTTTTAATTTAAAAAATATAGTAACTACATAGAAATAAATTATTGCATTAATTTTAGGGACCTCGATCAAAAATTAAAACCAACAAGGTTTCAATCAAAGAATATTCATAGCTAAGGACCGCATCCAAAGTCTCCCTTAAAAATAATTCATAACTAATTTGTATGCTTTTCCAGCTCCATTGACGTCTGCAGCGAAGACAGGAAACTTCGGTGGACGTTACAGTTATATTTTCCACAATCCGGTTAGCTTCCTAACGAATTTCTTATATATGGAACTTTGTCTCGTTTTCAATTTCTCGCACTGACCCCTCAAATCTCACTCATCTTTTTTTCCAGAAGCATCAAACTTACTCTACGACAACTGCTCATGAAGAGGGGGATAAAAAAGTAGAAGAGTAAGTTCTTGTTTCATATAAAAGAACCGTATTGGATTGTAGCCACAAATCCTTACATATTGTTTCAATCGCCAGTGAACAATTTGGAGAGAATTCCCTTATTTGGCTTATTTCATTAAAGATGAGCTCTCATCCTTAGCGCTATCCTGCAAGTAAATATGTGTTACCGGAACCCTTATATCTTATTCATTGATTTCTGCAACCTTCTTTTCGAATGTGCAGAATTTCTGTCACATTTGTGGACAAGGATGAGATGGCGAAGCATATTAAGATTCCCTTTGAAATGTCCATACTAGAAGCTGCTCATGAAAATGACATAGAACTTGAAGGTACTCTGGCATGTCATTTGATGTTGTACCACAGAGCATTCCACTTTGATTCCTCTTGTTTTAATATGATTCTAACTTTTATTAAGTACTTTTCTGGGCTCTATGTAGATTATAGACGCCGATAAGTTTTGTTTTAGTGGTGTTGATGCGTGAGCTTGCCCTTCAAGGTTGTTTATAATGAGACTATTAAAATGCTTGTTAGGATTGAATGGATAAGATGACTTGGAAATTGAACTTATGTGATTAGAACCAAGTTCTTGGCTGAATTGAATCGAGTTGGTCAACTAAGAAACAGCTTGGCTATCTCTATAGTCTACCTCGTAACTAGTTGGTTTTAATGTGATCTTAGGAGGATGTGAAGGATCGTGCGCTTGCTCAACATGTCATGTGATTGTGAGAGTATGTACTATTGTACATTGAAACCTGATGTTTGGAGATGAAGAATCATACCAGGAAGGCAATATTCACTGGATACAAGGAGAGGAGACATGAAAAATGAACTGATTTCCGTTCGTTAGTATCCGGTGGAAGTTGCCTTCTAGACTTCCATTCCTCCCACCAAAATCTCCATCCGAAGCTAACTTCTAGAACTCTTGGTTAGGATATGGAATACTACAATAAACTCGAAGATCCAAACTGATGAGGAAAACGACATGCTGGATCTTGCTTTCGGGCTCACAGAGACGTAAGCCCCCTATATCTTGGAATTATCTGCAGGGAAAATTTTGTCAGAGCTATAGTTGAAATTGATATGAATTCTAAAAGACGGTATTTGTTTGCAGCAGGTCCCGTCTGGGTTGTCAAATGGTTGCAAAACCCGAACTTGACGGAATATGCCTTGAACTGCCGAGTGCAACGCGCAACTTTGCTGTTGATAGGTATGCCAAGGCCACATAGAATAGAATTCTTTTGATAGGAAGGAGAGAGTAGGACATTTTTGGTTAGGAAGCAAACGAAAGCTATGCCATTCTTGTAGCATGTCCTATTTTGCTAGTTTTACGCTTCAAACACTAATTAAAGAAGTGACTTTATGAAATTTGTTTGTGCCAGGAATTTGGTTGAATAATTTATGCGTAGTGATTCATGTTTCGGTTTTCTTTTTCTGCAAACCTTACTTTGTTTTTATTCCTAAATTTTATCTGATTTATTCAATCGTAAATGAAGAGCATCAAAAGAAAAAGGAGAGTAAAAAAATCGCATTTCTAATTGATTTATTTATTTTTTTTGCTAAAGGGATGTGCACCCCATCACTTTTTCCGATGTGATTTTCACAGATTAGAATGGAATGAGGGCTTCGTCCTCCTCATTCACATATGTTGATCTAGTTTTTGTTTTCTCTAGTGTTTATTCTTTTTTAAAATAGAATCGAAATTTTATTGATCAATAAGACTAGGATACATCGAAGTCCTCATACAAAAAAGGATTTATTCTTCGAAGTTGAAACTTAAACCTTACCTTCAATCAGATCATACACATTATCTTTTTTACTTACACATTATTTGATGTCACATCTTATATCTCGTCACATGTGAAAAAATGTGAAAACATACCCGTTGCAAAAAAAGTGTTAAGAGTGTAGTTAGCCGTGCCAACGGGACCAAAAAAATTATCCCATCATAGGAAAGTCTTTTTGGTTCCGAAATCTAAATCTAGGGGTTTTTAAGTCGATACTTGCTAGATTATGAGCTACCTTATTGCGTTATCGATTCTCAAATAAGTCATTGAGCTTCCGAAACCTAAATCTAGAAGTTTCCAACTCGATAGCAAACCTTACTAATTGTGAGCTACTTTATTACACTTTCGACTCTTAAGTCTTAAAGTCAACCTCAATGGTCAATCTGCTCAAATAAACATAATCCATGCTACCATAATATAGTTACTTTAAAATTACTTGAAAGTAAAAGAGATTTTATAACTCTTATATTCCTACACACTAAGTTTTTTAGGTTTGATTTTTCCTTCCCCATTACTACTTTATCAAGAGGCGTTTAAAGAAAGAGATTCTTATTTTTATTGGGACCTATATTATGTTGAACTTTAACAATCTGAACCATCTATTTTTCAAGTTGCACCTCATAGATTATCCTTGCAAAGTATTAACTAAATCATAAATATTTGAAGCATCTAATTGAGTTCAAAAAATTTGACAAACATTTTGTTCTAAGAAAACACTAAAATATTGTCGTGATAATTAAATAGGCAAATGATTTCCAATTGAATTCAATTTTTGCAATAATCATAAATAGAGAAGTTCGATGTGAAGTGAGTTCCACAACTAATTTTAATTTTAAAAAAATGGAAATCTTTTCTCTTAAAGGACCTGTATTTTATCCAAAGTAAGCTCTCAAACAGGTTAAAAAATAGAATTCTTTTCCCTTAAAGCTTTATCAAAGTAAGCTCTCAAATGGGTTCAAAGGGAAAGGGATCCTCCCCCCAAATCAAGGGATCCAAACTTCTTGAAATTTGATCAAACGGCTAAAGTTATTATAACTTTTAAAGGAGGCCTCTGTTTGTAGCATTTGGATCAAATTTCAAGGGCCCAAATCCCTTCATTTGGTGGATTTTGTGGAAGGGATCCAGAGAGGATCCATTTCCGGTTCAAAGGGTAGCATGCTGATTAGAGTGCAGTCCCCCCTTCCATATACTTTGATGCCACAAAAGTCGTTAGGTATTACGAATGACGATCCTCTCCGGATTTTCTTTGTGAGGATTCAAGGATCCTCCAATCATATATGTTCATCATATATTGTACGGTCAGTTTTTGTCAGATGCTATTTATATTTAATTTTAAATAAAATGATTTTTAATGATTTTTAACCGTACGATATACAATGAACTGATGTAATTGGAGGATTTCTAGAATCAAGATCCGAAGAAGATCCGCATTCAATATTACCAGCACTTCAACATCCACGTCAGATGTAGCCAATCAGGAAGTATGATTCTCTCCCCTTTTTTTTCCCTCCCTTCGCTTTTATTTGAACGGTCACGGTTAAGCCACGTCAATATCTTATATTAATTCTTTTATAGAAAAAGAAAGACAAAATAAAGAATGTAAGAGAAGAAGAAGGTTATAAATGAAAAAAAGAAGAGAAGAGAATCCTACCTGCCAATCAAAGCCGGCCTTGACCATGCAGCCCTGTGGACAGGCTGACTGACATCGTCCTAGCTCCCAACCACCTTTATCTTTGACCTACGTGAGCCCGTTTCCCTTTTGTGGCGTGACCAGCGGTCACCGACAACTGTCGGTCATGGTCGATAACGTTAAACAGTGACCGACTTCTTTAGCATCCTAGAGCCTATTTTAGTATGTTGTGCGGAAATGGAAATGGTAGGCGGTAAACGGTGACAGAAGAAAGCTGCCGTGAAGTCTGAAGAACGCAATTCCAATTCCCAACCCAACCGGAATGCGGGGCCTTGCTTTGCTCGCTTGACGTTTTGAACTACCTCAGCTAAAATTACTTTATTAGCCTTAGCAAATTGGTTTTATTTTATTTTTCTTTTCATCTCATCTTTGGTTGTAATTTGTGTGAACTGTTTGGACAAATGATGCCTTTCCTTCCTTAGGATCAATTTGGGTGAATTGATTTTTCCACTGACGCGAAAACGAGTTAATGTTAAGAGAAATTTAAGTATGATAATATGACCAAGTGAATGATACGACACTCACATGAAAACGAGCTTTATTGTATTTGAGTAATCTAACTTTCACACATGTAACTCTCAATATATTGTGATATTTTATCTTATCCGAATAATAACTAGTCAAACTATTATGAAAAAAAAAAATTCTAATTCGCAATATATATACATATTTGTATACGCTTGATGACATTACTCAAATATATGTCGTATCCCCATTAAATTAAAGGAAAACTAATGAAAATAGCTTAAAAACTTTGAGTTTTAATGATAAGGACAAAATAAAGGGTAAAGTAAATAGTATCAGGATTGACTTTTAGTGTAAAAATGTGGTTTTTCGTTAAAGTGAACAGTACATGGTGCTTTTCGTTAAAGTTCTCTTAAATTAATGATAGGAAGACTAAAATTTGTAGACGAAATTTTGAAACCTAAAGGATATAGAAATTGATGATTGATCTGAAGATGATTGGTTTATTACTTAAACTTTTGATAAACGTATTTATTCATATTAGTAACACATTATTTAATTTGTAAATTTTATCTTCAGATTTAGTCTAAAATGACATTAGAGAAAACACAAGCAAACAAATATTGAGTTAGTACTATGATGTCACCTCTCTCATAACAAAAAGATTGTCCTTAATCTTTGAGTTTGTACTAATAAATAACTTTTAACAAAAAGATTATTTTCTCCATTAGGAATTAATAATTTCGGAAACACCAGAATTCAGATCAGGGAAGCCACAGCCGAGTAAATGTCAGGTGAGGTAATGACGGCACCGGTAATTGCAGCGAAACACCATGGAGTTTTACGTCAATTACTCCTAAGCCGGCTGTTTCCTGACGCCGGTGACGGGGACTCTACCTCTTCCCCAATTAAATCCCGCCATCTCGACTGCCGGGTCCCCTATCCAACCACGTGTCCTCACCTTATGTACCCCTCGACGGACGCCGTCAAACCCCAACGCCCCTCTCTCTGAGTCCCTTGACTCCCTCAGGTTTTTCCGTCAACCGAGAATACGCGACCCAACAAAAAACACCAAATTAACGTTTTCCGTAAACGCGAGAAGCCGGTCAACCCAAACCCTCTCTCTCTCTTCGCACTAAAAGCATTCCAACCCCCCCAAAACCTAAAATTCACATCGCCGATATCTCATATCCTACGACCTCCGGCGCACGATAGCACCCACTACAAAACCCTTACTCTCCTCAATCCCTCTGAACCAGTGCCAGCTCTCAGATCGGTGATAGTCTACGCACAGGCGCAGTTTACTACCGAATTTTGGATCTAGACCGGACCGATCCAGATCCGCGCACGATTGCAGTCGTATCGATGGAAGAGGACGACGAGATCCAGTCACCGGCATCGGGAGGAAGCCGATCGCCGGCGTCGACGAGGCAGAACGGTCGGATTACGGTGACGGTGGCGGTGCCGCCGGCGCAAGTTCCAGCGCCGACGCCGACTCAGAACAAAATCCTAACCCTAGCTCTGCCGTCGTCGGCTCAGCAACAGGGACGGAGCAGCGGGGGAGGAAGGGAAGATTGCTGGAGCGAAGGGGCGACGGCGGTGCTGATCGAGGCGTGGGGGGAGAGGTACTTGGAGCTGAGCAGGGGGAATTTGAAGCAGAAGCACTGGAAGGAGGTGGCGGACGTCGTGAGCAGCAGGGAGAACTACGGTAAGATTCCAAAGACTGACATACAGTGTAAGAATAGGATTGATACTGTGAAGAAGAAGTATAAACTCGAAAAATCGAAGATTGGGGCCGGAGGAGGACCCAGCAAGTGGCCTTTTTACGAGAGGCTCGATCATTTGATTGGCCCCTCTGGTGCTAAGGTGGGTCCTGGGTCTGCTGGCGGCGGTGGTAGTGGTGGGTTTTCGGGGCATAGCAAAAAAATGCCGGTCGGGCTTCGACATAGCCAATTTATCGGGCGTAGGGCTAAACGGGAGGGAAAGATTAGACAAAGGGATTTGGTAGAATCGGATTCAGACGAGTCTCGGGAGCCTTCGCCTATTTCGATTGATAATGAGATTTTCGAGCAGAAGAGGAGGACTGCCAATGCCAATGTCAATGCCAATGCGAGCGTGAGGAAAAGGGTAGGGGGTGGATTAAGACCTTGTGCGGTGGGTAGGGAGAAAGGAGAAGGAGGAGGAGGAGGAGGAGGAGGAGGAGGGTGTGGGAGCTCGGTGAGGGAACTGACTCGAGCGATATTGAAGTTTGGGGAGGCTTATGAGCATGCGGAGTCAGCGAAGCTGCAGCAGGTGGTGGAGATGGAGAAGCAGAGGATGAAGTTTGCCAAGGAGTTGGAGTTGCAGAGGCTGCAGTTTTTCATGAAGACACAGGTGGAGATTTCTCAGCTGAAGAGTGGAAGTGGGAGAAAAAGCAGGGTTAACGGGGTTGGGAATGCTAGTAACCATCGTAGCAACAACAACAATAACAGTGATTGTAGCAGCTAAGGTAATAAAGAAAACAACCCATGTTGGCAAAATTGTGTTAAAAATGGTAGATGGGAGCGAATTATCTGTTTCTTGTGGTGTTTGTGACATAGTAGTTGAGTCAGTTTGTGAAATCATGATGTTAGGAGAGAGTAGCGGTTATCGGTAAATGGTTGATTAGGATTTAGAGTCGGATTGTTGCCGGAAATATTGTCGGATTATGAAGTGAGCATCAATCTTAGCAAATGGAGTAATGAAAGATTGAATATTATTGCTTGCTGCTTATCAAGTGTATGATCTTCATGTATTTTTAAGCTCACTTATAATGAAATGTCGTAACCATGAAAATCTGGAATTGTCAATGCTGGTTGTATTAATGTGCTCCTGTAAGAAATGCTCGTGCTCATAAACACTTTTTTTAGAGGCGCTTTTAATATGAAAATATAAATCCAAGTGCTTCTTGGAAAAGAGTTGGACGTGCTTCCGCAAGAAGCAGCTAGGCTTCTTTAAAAGGAGTTTTCTGTTTTTGTGAATAAAAAACGCCTATGAGTTTTTTTCCTTGAGCATGGTCAGAATTGCTTTTGATCCGGAAAAAATTCTTTTGGCAGATGTGGTGCAATAGAAATTCCTGCTGGGCCACAAATTATGTATAATATTGGGCATGTTGTGTTGTCTTTCTGATCTTTTTTGTAATTGGGCTCTGCTCAGGTTCCAATATTAGTTCATGTGTTTTTATCCCGCCAATTTAGCCTAGTTTTTTTGGACATGAATCATGATAGGTCTATCATTGTTTAATATAGAACTCGCTATCTACAAGATTCGGCTTTAAGATCTCACTATATTTGACTTTAAGATCTCATATGTACAGGTGGAGTACAATACTACCAGACCCTTATATTCTAATACAAAGTGACTCCAATTTAGTTTGTGACATTAGTTTGAGCAACACTCGTAAAAAATCTCTATGAGACAAGTAACCCGTTCATCTCTAATAAAATTGAAGGTATAACATCGTTTGATAAAAAATAAAATATTAAAGGTGTGTCCGGAATATTATTTAGCGAAATAGTTAATTATCGGATTAGCTTATGATTTATGAATAGCCCGAATTTCACTAAATTTAGTATTCACTCATGTCTCACGTTAACCGTAACCGTCAATTCCGTTAACTTTTTAGTTAAACTCAACAACTCATAATCGTGTGATCCCATTAAATTACCAAGAAAATACAAGGGAAAGAAAGAGGTAATAATTGAAGTTGTAATCTTTTTGGTTTGATTATCATATTGTCACGTAGTATCATTGCTCATTTTCTAATATAATATGTGATTATTAAACTCACAACTCTTACCAATGGCGGATGGATTAAGGGACTCGACCACCCAGCAACCCCGATCAGTGGCTGTGAGACCTCTGAGGACCACCCAAGTTTAGGCATGTCACATGTGGTATAGGAGAAGAGTGCACCAACGGATTTGTGGGTGCATGTTTTGCAAATGATTAACGAATGAGAAGAATACTATTTAGTTTTTTAAAAGACTTGGCCAAAATTACATCGTTTTGAGCCAAGTCATTTAAAACAAAATAATTAAAATTAAGTCTTCTTATTAAGTCACGTGAGGAAAACCTTTTTTAAATAAAAAAAATAAAGAGAGTATTCTATTTTCTCCTACCTGAGATCTCCACCCAATCCCATTTTGCATTCATTTTCTCCAATTGAGTAATTTCAATTCCCTTTTTCTTCTAACCATACCCAACCGGTCGCCAAGCCATCATCAATGAAAATCATCATTGATTAGTTATGACAATCATAATAGTCATAACGTTTTACATGGCATTGGTGCACCTTCACACGGCTTTTCGTGCTACATAAAATAATAAATCCTAAAAAAATAGTTTTTAATGGTTAATCCACATGATATATATAATTACGTTAATGAGATCTACATGGTGCCACATCAGCATACTAATAAAATAATGGATGAAATATAAATGAAATGATCAAATTGATGTGCAATCATAAAATTCAAGGACAACATTGATCACTTTTGAAAGTAAATAAATAGAAAAGAGTGAAGTGGGTAATCCTGATTTTTGGAGGGCGATTTATGAATTTACGCCATTGGTCTCGCTACCCTACGAATCAGGCCAATATCCCTCCCTCTCTAAACCTTGATTTTGCTTGTAATTGATTTGGGGTTTATTTTAGGGTAGGAAATTTGGGATTTATAGTTAGGGTTAGGCAATTTGGGGATTGATTTTCGTAGTTTCAAATTGTGTGTGAAGTTGTTTTGGGCTGTAGTGAAAGTACATTTTGTAGTAAGTTTGACTGATATTCTTGTAGTTATGCGCACACTCTGTGTATTTTGTAGTAAATTACCAAGAAAATACAAGGGAAAGAAAGAGGTAATAATTGAAGTTGTAATTTTTTTGGTTTGATTGTCATACTGTCACGTAGTATTATTACTCATTTTCTGATATAATATGTGATTATTGAACTCACAACTCTTACCAATGGCAGATGCATTAAGGGACTCGACCACCCGGCAACCCCGATCAGTGGTTGTGAGGCCTTCGAGGACCACCCAAGTTTAGGCATATGGTATAGGAGAAAAGTGCAGAAACGGATTTGCGGGTGCATGTTTTGCAAATGATTAACGAAGGAGAATAATACTATTTAGTTTTTAAAAAAACTTGGCCAAAATTACATCGTTTTGAGCCAAGTCATTTAAAACAAAATAATTAAAAGTAAGTCTTCTTATTAAGTCACGTGAGGAAAACCGTTTTTAAATAAAAAAAATAAAGAGAGTATTCTATTTTCTCCTACCCGAGATCTCCACCCAATCCCATTTTGCATTCATTTTCTCCAATTGGGTAATTCCAATTCCCTTTTTCTTCTAACCATACCCAACCGGTCGCCAAGCCATCACCAATGAAAATCATCATTGATTAGTTATGACAATCCTAATAGTATATCTTTTTACATGGCATTGGTGCACCTTCACACGGCTTTCCGTGCTACATAAAATAATAAATCCTAAAAAAATAGTTTTTAATGGTTAATCCACATGATATATATAATTACGTTAATGAGATCTACATGGTGCCACATCAGCATACTAATAAAATAATGGATGAAATATAAATGAAATGATCAAATTGATGTGCAATCATAAAATTCAAGGACAACATTGATCACTTTTGAAAGTAAATAAATAGAAAAGAGTGAAGTGGGTAATCCTGATTTTTGGAGGGCGATTTATGAATTTACGCCATTGGTCTCGCTACCCTACGAATCAGGCCAATATCCCTCCCTCTCTAAACCTTGATTTTGCTTGTAATTGATTTGGGGTTTATTTTAGGGTAGGAAATTTGGGATTTATAGTTAGGGTTAGGCAATTTGGGGATTGATTTTCGTAGTTTCAATTATGTGTGAAGTTGTTTTGGGCTGTAGTGAAAGCACATTTTGTAGTAAATTTGACTGATATTCTTGTAGTTATGCGCACACTCTGTGTATTTTGTAGTAAATTACCAAGAAAATACAAGGGAAAGAAAGAGGTAATAATTGAAGTTGTAATTTTTTTGGTTTGATTGTCATACTGTCACGTAGTATTATTACTCATTTTCTGATATAATATGTGATTATTGAACTCACAACTCTTACCAATGGCAGATGCATTAAGGGACTCGACCACCCGGAAACCCCGATCAGTGGTTGTGAGGCCTTCGAGGACCACCCAAGTTTAGGCATGTGGTATAGGAGAAAAGTGCAGAAACGGATTTGCGGGTGCATGTTTTGCAAATGATTAACGAAGGAGAATAATACTATTTAGTTTTTAAAAAAACTTGGCCAAAATTACATCGTTTTGAGCCAAGTCATTTAAAACAAAATAATTAAAAGTAAGTCTTCTTATTAAGTCACGTGAGGAAAACCTTTTTTAAATAAAAAAAATAAAGAGAGTATTTTATTTTCTCCTACCCGAGATCTCCACCCAATCCCATTTTGCATTCATTTTCTCCAATTGGGTAATTCAAATTCCTTTTTTCTTCTAACCATACCCAACCGATCGCCAAGTCCATCACCAATGAAAATCATCATTGATTAGTTATGACAATCATAATAGTCATAACTTTTTACATGGCATTGGTGCACCTTCACACGGCTTTCCGTGCTACATAAAATAATAAATCCTAAACAAATAGTTTTTAATGGTTAATCCACATGATATATATAATTACGTTAATGAGATCTACATGGTGCCACATCAGCATACTAATAAAATAATGGATGAAATATAAATCAAATGATCAAATTGATGTGCAATCATAAAATTCAAGAACAACATTGATCACTTTTGAAAGTAAATAAATAGAAAAGAGTGGAGTGGGTAATCCCGATTTTCGGAGGGCGATTTATGAATTTACGCCCTTGGTCTCGCTACCCTACGAATCAGGTCAATATCCCTCCCTCTCTAAACCTTGATTTTGCTTGTAATTGATTTGGGGTTTATTTTAGGGTAGGAAATTTGGGATTTATAGTTAGGGTTAGGCAATTTGGGGATTGATTTTCGTAGTTTCAATTATGTGTGAAGTTGTTTTAGGCTGTAGTGAAAGCACATTTTGTAGTAAATTTGACTGATATTCTTGTAGTTATGCGCACACTCTGTGTATTTTGTAGTAAATTACCAAGAAAATACAAGGGAAAGAAAGAGGTAATAATTGAAGTTGTAATTTTTTTGGTTTGATTGTCATACTGTCACGTAGTATTATTACTCATTTTCTGATATAATATGTGATTATTGAACTCACAACTCTTACCAATGGCGGATGCATTAAGGGACTCGACCACCCGGCAACCCCGATCAGTGGTTGTGAGGCTTTCGAGGACCACCCAAGTTTAGGCATGTGGTATATGAAAAGAGTGCAGAAACGGATTTGCGGGTGCATGTTTTGCAAATGATTAACGAAGGAGAAGAATACTATTTAGTTTTTTAAAAGACTTGGCCAAAATTACATCGTTTTGAGCCAAGTCATTTAAAACAAATAATTAAAAGTAACTCTTCTTATTAAGTCACGTGAGGAAAACCTTTTTAAATAAAAAAAATAAAGAGAGTATTCTATTTACTCCTACCCGAGATCTCCACCCAATCCCATTTTGCATTCACTTTCTCCAATTGGGTAATTCCAATTCCCCTTTTCTTCTAACCATACCCAACCGGCCGCCAAGCCATCACCAATGAAAATCATCATTGATTAGTTCTGACAATCCTAATAGTCATAACTTTTTACATGGCATTGGTGCACCTTCACACGGCTTTCTGTGCTACATAAAATAATAAATCCTAAAAAAAATAGTTTTTGT